TTTGAAAAATATGAAAAGAAATATAATTTCATAAAATTAAGTTAAATATGTAAAGAAAAAGGGTACAATAAAACAACGACAAATATAAAAAGAAAAATAATGTAATAAAACAATTAAAAATATAAAAAGAAAACAAAAGAAGTAAAACTATGATTAAGGATGTTAAACTTAAAAAAATTTTAGCCCTGGGATCCCAAAATTAACAGTTTTTAGCCCAAGCATTTTTTTGAGCCATTTCTATGAGTTATATGATATAATACACTTAATAATATACATGGCACGGCGGGCGCAAAAAGTGACAAAATAGAATACCTATGGTGGCAAGACAAAGGAAACATTTTTGTAAGGCAAACATTATATCAAATACCTTTACTTTGTAATAAGAAATATAATTATCACGAAATTACAAATAAATATTGTTTAATATAATTAATAGCAAAATTCTTTTTTATTATTTCCCTTAAGACCTTACTTATTAAGTATACGTATAACAAGCTTGTACTGCATGTATTAGTTAATAGAACAAAAGAAAATGAGCTCAAATGAAAAAAATTTTCATGCTATTTTGGAAATATGCATATTCGAAGTATGAGAGTTGTAAACACTGAGAATTTTAAGCTTTGGTTGATGATAGTCTTTAATTTTTCTTGAAGTAGTAAATTATTTGATATGAAAATTTAATGGCCAGCATAATCAATCGTGCGTTTCGTTTCTTGATTGAGAAACGATGATTGTGTGCTAATGAATTATTGCGTCTGACAGGTTATGATTATGGATACCTGAAATTAAGCTTTTATGGGAAACATCACCGAGCGCCATTTGGCGCCCCTAATGCTGTTTCTATCGGTATGATTAAGGAGCTTTCTTATGCACTTTCATCACTTGAACTTGAACGCTACAAGATATATGCCCCCCTCCCAATGGGAGGTGGGAGCAAAAATTGAAATGTTTACATTGATTTTTGAATACTTTACAAGCGCCCCTCCCAGTGGGCGCGGGCGCAAGTGATCGGGTCAAAAAAAATCATAAAAATATTCAAAATTGCGATTTTAATAGATGTTTAAGAAGTAAATGTATTAATAACGATATTTCATAGTACAAAATGTGTTCAATCTCTTCGTAAATCATTCAAAAAAATCAAAAGAATTTCCAAAATTCAATTTTTTTAGTAAAATTTATATCTTTTTCTATCGTCTCCTCCCCACCAGTGGGAGCCACCGGAGGCGCGGGCGGCGCCGCTGGCGCCAAAAAAGTAGCGCCCATCGTGCCATGTATACTTAATATAGGGCTGTACAAGATTTAAAAAAACATTGCCGGGTTACCGTAGAGGCCTAAAAAAATCGCGCCTCGGCGGCAAGCCGCCTCGGCATTAAGAATGCGCATCTAAATTTTTATATGTCCTTCTTTCTTTTATTTTTCCCTTCCCTTTCTTTTCTTTTTCTTTTTTTTCCCTCCTCTTGCTCTCATTTACCTTTTTTTTCCTTTTCTCATCATTTTTCAAAATTTTAAATTTTTATCAAAAATCTTGCCTATAAAAGCAGACTATGGAACCTTTTAATGCCTCTTAATCAATATTATACAGCATAAAGCATATTAAATGAAAGTAATTACGTATAAATTTATTTTATTATCTTATTTATTAATTCTTTAGCATGTATTGTTTAATATTAACTTTTCTGTACATTAAATATGATATCTCCAAAGTATGAATGCCTTGTAACGAAACGAAAACTTAATTTTATGTTGAATATTTGTCACAAACATTAGATTATTAAAATATATGTTGGATATCCCTTAGTATGAGACTTCATGACTCTTGTAGTCTAACGTGAGCTTTGGATTGCAAGCTCTGTGGTTAACGAACATAAATTAATTGTAAAGTTTTCAAAATTTTTCATCGTTTCTATCAGCATCTATTTTCCTTTAAAATAATATATTTGTATGAATACAATATTTAGTAATTTTTTTATTTCCCATAATTTCATTCAAAATTTCAGAAAAAATTAATTTCTATTCAATATTATTTCAGCTTCAAAACACTTCATTCTTATAGATGTTGATTCACTAAAGTGTGATACTCAATGTCTTATTTCAATGAAAATTGTTCTGCAAATTTATTTCACTTTTGACCTCACTTTTTCCGTAATTCAATTTTTTACTTTTAATATTTTAGATCTTCATAATATCATTTGAAAAATTAACCATATAAAAAAATCAAGTTAACAATTCACTTTTTCCGTAATTCAAAAATCAAAAATATAAATAATATATCTTTTTATCAAATATTATTATTATATTCTATGAAAAATGAGGTCCGGAAATTTTGCGGATTCCGTAACTCAATTTTACGGAAAAAGTGCAGTAAACTATTCAAAATACGGAAAAATTGGTGTAAACTAATGATTTTACGGTAAAATCACGGAAAGTCCCGGAAGAATATATGTGCCTATATGAAATTATACAAAAATGAATCAAACGCATTTTAAAAGATTGTTCTTGTATTATAAATGCTATTCGCAGATTTATTAGTTGAAGAAAATTACCAAATTTTTGCCGATTTACAAAAAATGATTTACAAAGCATATTTTTATAAGGCTTTAAAAATCTTTAAAATGTGACCGGTGACGGAAATCCATGGTAACCAACCGCGGTTCCCGTTTGGAATGCCATAACTTAATATAAATAATTCTTACTTTTAGTCACGAAAAAGCATTTTGCGATTTTTGCAGACGATTATTTGGGATTATTCGGGTCCAATTCAAAATTTGAAAGGAATTGAGACTGGGATTGGGATTAATCCCAATCCCAATCCCTAATAATCGTCGGATTAGATATTGATAATTATTTTAAATATATTTCAATAGTAGTGAATTTTCACTACTACAAATAACTAGTTCAAAGCAATTTTTGGAAAAAATTAAAATAACAAAAATATACATTTTTGAGATCTGAGATATGAATAATAGTTCCTCTGTCTTGGAAAATATATCTGTGGATTTGTTTGATCAGAAAACATATTCAAGCAGATTGAATTGAATAACATATGATAATAGAACAGCGTCAATAAAGCAATTAATATAGAAATGCTTTTTTGTTATGTGTGATGAAGATATCAGTTAATGAATTATGAATATCAAAATAAATAAAATCAATTACTATGAAATTTTTATTAAATCTATCAAAATTTATATCCACAGTATGAGTTGGTATCAATGGTGGTAAGAATAGGCTCTGTTAATGAAAGCATCTAAACTTCCAGCCTAAGACCAAAAAGTGTCATTGTTGCATGGGATGGGACTTCCAACTGGAGTCGCATCAGGCTATACACTTGCTGGAACGGTAAGCAGCCTTTGATCTAATCAATCATAATGCTGCTTCATCCATGCCAGCAAGTGTTTTCGAAAACATATGATGCATCATATGTGTATTCAGTCTTTTGTGAGAACTCTGCAAACCAAAAGTGCAATGTTCACATAGTCTGGCTGTCAGGATATAGTAGCTAAGCTGTGTGGACATTGCGCTTCTAGAGATATACTAGTAATCCGATGTTGGCCAAATGCACTACATTACTTTCCACAGGTTCCCAAAGAGCCCGGTACTTCGTAATTACATGAATAGGGCCAAGTTCTTCCGAGGCCTCTCATTGAATGAGAGACTTCGGAAGAACTTGGTCCTAAAGTATTCCTACTACTGTTCTCTGGTCTGTAAAGGACTAAATAAGCTACAATTTGTCGATAAGAATAGAATTCCTCCGAAATCTCCCATTCAATGAGAGGCCTCGGAAGAACTTGGCCCTATTCATGTAATTACGAAGTATCTGACATTTTAGGAGCGAGAGAGCGGTAGTATAGGTGCTTGTGTGCAATAACGTATAACTAATATTGCTAGAAGCACAATAATTTTGCGGCCTAACTACTATATCCTAGTAACTAGGCTGCACAATTATTGTGCTTCTGATTTGCAGAGCTCTTATGGGAGACCAAGCTGAGGTCTGATGCCAGAACCACTTGCTGGTATGAATGAAGCAGAACTATGATTGGTCAGAACAAAGGCTGCGCATCATCCCAGTAAGGGGATGGATGAGCGTGACTCCAGCTATGATCTTCCATATATAAATGACACTTTTGCGCTTTTTGGCGGGAAAGTTTTGAGTGGGTACTTTGCGCTAGCCCATTCTTACTACCATCACAACCCATTCATACTGCAGTTATAGGGTTTAACCTTTTTTTGGCATAATTTCAAATTTCTAATTTATTAAAATTTTCAATTTATGAATATAAGCGATATTATATCTAAAATTACACAATTTGCTTATAATATTATACTTTTATAGATAAATATTTTTAATCTCTTTTTGCCTTCGCCCATTTTTTTATTTTTTTCTTGAAACTCATTGAAAAATTTCAATATGGGATGGATGGTATCCCAAACTTCAAGTAGCCCAAGTGGATTCGGGATTTCCTTACATCCTTACTATGATAAATATGAAAAGAAATAGAATGCTATAAAACAATGATAAATATGAAAAGAAAGTGAATACCGTAAATCAATAGTAAATATGAAAAGTAAAAGAATAAGTTTCAAGTTAACTTCAGCTCCATTTTCAACTAAGAATTTGACAATTTCAATTGAATTATTTTTGATTGCAATACTAATTGGGCAATCATTAATTAGAAGAAAACTATACTAAACAATGACAAACATGAAGAGAAATATAATCCCATAAATCAATAATAAATATAAAAAGAAAGCAAATGTATTTGTTGTTGATATCTTTTCCATTAGTAAGTAAATAAGACGCAATATCATAATTTCCATAATACATGCTTTCTGCAATCGAACCAAAAGTTTGTCCAAAATTTGATTTAAGGTACTCAGCAATTTCATAGTTTCGATAATCCAACGCTGTATTAATCATCTTATCAAATGAATTACCTTCTTCTATCATTTGCATAAAAATGTTATTATTCCCACCTTGAACAGCATAAAATTCGGAGTTTTTAGTGTATTGAGCTCCTAAATTTTTTCAAGTAATTGAAACACAATTCTGATCCATATTTAATTGCACAACCAAGTGGTGTGATTTCTTGATCTATATTATTATTGATATCAAGATTTGGGAATTTATTCTTAAGATCATCAACTTTATCCCATGCAATGTAGAATAAAGGAGATTCAGTTGAATATAAATTAAGAATTTCTTCTATTTTCTGCTCAGAATTTTCAAATTGATAATGTAATAGCTCGATTAACTTCTTATTTTTCGGTTCGTACATGTGTGGGAATGCGTTTGATAACTTTTGATAAAGTTCCGAAAACAATTTAATTTCTTTAACACGAATTTGTGAAAAAATATCAATCAGATAAAGTGCCATTTGGATAGGTATTTTACTCGTTTTAATAAAGTCTAATATTTGCAATGATGATTGTAAAATATTATTTGAATTGACACCCCAAATAATTCGTGAGGCTTGACTAGGGTATTTGAATACTTCAATTGGCTTAATGTCACTAAAATAACATTCGATTTTGTTTCCTGGTTGCAATGAACTTGACATTTTTTTAATAAAAAAATGGATTTGGCACTTTTTAAAATTTACCACCTCATTGTCTTCGAAAAGATCAATCAACTCTACAATAAACCTGCCAATTTAAAATGCATCGTCAATATCGAAAAGTTAATAAGTAAATTTATCATTTATGATGAGTAAGTAAATTTATTTTTGCCTCATTGTAAATATGATGTGAAATGTAAATCAATGAGCATCTATCTCACATCAAAATTTGAATATCAAAGATCGTTGTAACAAATAATTGCTCCATTGGCAGAAATTTTGTACGTTCTAAAATTCTTTTTCCAAGATGTGGTATTGCTTTCATTCAATAAAAATATATTAGCTATATAAATAGGTCTATGGGGATAGATATTGCTATAGATATATTTCTCTTAAGATCTTCGGATAGCAAGATAGAGACGAATAAAATCTCCTAAAAATTGAATTCCCTCTTAAAATTGAAAGGAAATGAACATTTAGTCTTGAGAGAGAGAGAGAGAAAGAGGCGAAAAATAATAGAACAAGCTTAAATTCACACTACTCAATGAAGAAAAATGTAAAGTTTATTATATCATATAATAATTGGTTCAAAATTAAACTCAGATATATCATATTATCTCAAAATATTCGATATTTAAGAGAGCCTCAAATGCACAACAATCATTGTTCAACCAAAATCTCGATACATGCTATGCAAACTCTAATTTTTATTGGAAAAGGCTAATATAAATTAATTAGAAATAAATATGTTTAGAAGCAATAAAAGAAGTGAAAATCTATATTTAAACTTTTCAGTACTTAAAACAGAAATTGGATCTAAATAATTAATAATTGATAAACTACTCAATTCAATCCATACATCAATATAACTAGCAAATTTATCGAAAAAAGGCATGCGTGAAATGTAAAATGTATCAATTGCTCATAGTGGATAATTCCATGTTGAACCATCATCATCGCAGACGTATAAAGAACACCATCCACGATGAGAAGCTAATACATGAATGCCGCCAAAGTGAGACCAAGTACCGGTTTTGTTCAAAATGGTAAAACCGGCTGCTTGTGGGTTAGTATCAGTGAAGTAGGATTGTTGGTGGAAATTAATATATTGCGGAATTTGGGGAATTTCGTATATTAATGAGTAATAACTATTAGTACCGTCTGTTAGTTTAAACTTTTCATCGATAACATTTAATATTGAAAAGAGGTTTCCATCTAAAGAATATTTTCCCTCTTGTTTATTCTTAAAAAAGCCTGCTTTTGAGTTATGATGAAAGATTTTAAGCCAAATAGACTCATTATAGTGAATTACATCATAACCGTATACTTTAACCACGTCTGGATGTAATATATATGGTTCTCCATTATAGTCACCCAATTAAATTCAGGCAATCAATTAAAAAAATAAACTAATAACCTCACATCAACAAATTTAATCATTGATGCGAGTGTGATAATGTTTAATGGGATTTTCATTATCTACGGTTTTTTTTGATTTGAAATTTCGAATTTGACATCACAATTTTTGTCACTTTTTATCAAAAATGACGGAAGCGAAAAATGCAAATATAACATCTCGCCGCGCCGACGTATTTTTGATTCTTGAGCAACACATTGATGCAGTATTAACTAAATTCGACACCGTTGCCGTGTTTACAGCTAAAGGAAATGATTTTGATAAATTCATTCGCTCTAAACATGGCCAAAGCCTTGTCAAAGATGCTACATCATTTAGAGCATCAAAATCAAGTAATGCCAAGCCACCGAAAATTAGCAGCGACGTACTCAAATCCTATGAACCTTTTATAAATGATTCAAAATACGCACTATCTGCTTTAGATTACTTAGTTGATTGGGCGACATCAGTTAAAAACATAATGAATGACATCGCTCCGCACATTACCGATTTAGATATTCGCTGGAATTATCCATTAGTTCTTCATATCAGCAAACTTCTTGTTGCTTTCTCAAAAATTTGCACGCTTGTCCATTCCCACAAAATCCTATATCTCCTTATTCAATTCTATCCGATCATTCCTGCACTCAAAGAATTACCCTTAAATATGGACTATGAAAAGATCGCCAAATTCATTTCTTCAGCGACAAAGAGTCCATTCTCATACGCTGCAGCGCAATTTTCCAAGATTGAGCAGAAAATCAGTGACTTTATCTCTCAAATTTCTCCAAATATTATCCAAATTTTTGGCCAATGGCCTGTCGTCGAATGGAACGACTTTTCAGTATTCTCGCAGATCGAACAAACATACGACTCCACATTACCTACAAATATCCATCTTGTTTTGGAAAATATTGGCTTATTCAGGGATGTCATTATTTTCTTTGGCCTCATGTTCCCTCAATACCCCGAGATGTTCCCACAGTACTTAACTCTCCTCAACATTGCTCTCACAGAAGGATCAATGATCAATTTGACTCCTACCGTGAGTATATCCGTCGCGGAGATCCTTAAAACCTTCAACGAGACAGTTAAGAACAAGAGCATATCCGAAATGACTGAAATGAACGAATACGAACGACAATTAAAAGCCGATATTTCACATCCACAAAGGTTGAACCACGTTTACTACTTACTCCGTGATATCAGCGACATCACAGCTTTCGAACCATCCTATCTACCGAAATTTATCAACCACATTTTACCACTTGCTTCATTAGCCTGTTACGAGGTCAACCAGTACTTCGTTGAAGAGGCAATCAAGGACAGTATCGTAAATCTCGTCGAAATCCTCACAGATCTCGGTCGTTCGTTCAAAATTAATGAAAATGTCATAAAAAGGTTTTTCCTGTTCAATCTCACCACTATCGATGCTACATTCCTCAACAGTTTACACAGTTCGATTTCCCAACTTACAGAGCTATGGCAAGTCCACATTGCTGGATTAATTTCAGATTTGATCAGAGCTTTGGGTTCTATCGACCTAGAAGACTTCGATCGTGGTACTCGCTATGATTTGATGCCATTCATTGTCACGGCAAACAGATTATTCTTCCTTTTCAATGAATTACAAACAAAATTCCAAGGAGCCTTCTTAAATCCGATCTTTGAGCACCTCGCTACAATCATCTTCCACGCAAACCTCGCTCAGGACCCATTCAGCTACTTTTTGACCTTTGTTCCCCTTCATAAATTCTGGGGATACACAGATATGATCATGAAGTACTCAGAAGAGCTTCCAGGCGGTATCGGATCATGCAGTTCCCTCATAAATCTCTTCCAGTTCTTCGATTACGACCAACTTGGAATATCTCTTAATGAAAAGGTCGTAAACACCGTAGAACCAGCTATTAAGCATATCAGAAAGGAGTTCCTTAAGAAGTTCACCTCCGTTATCAAGGAATACCTTTCTAAAGATAACTTTTTCATTGGAATTTCAAATCATACCTCAAAGAACATTATTTTCGATCCGAAGATCTACCTCTTCAACGATACGAACTTCAACGCAGCTCAGGTCAACGCTATGGACAACCTAAGAGCAGCAGATCTCCAGTTGAAACAGTTCGCATTAAATATTCCGAAAAAAGTGACATTCAAAGGTCACGAATTTCCGATTACAAGCTATATATGCGACCACATTGGTAAGCAATTGGCGGAATTGATGTTTGACAAGAAATTACCTGATGTTACATGGATGACAAGTTGTTTCAGCGCAACTCCCGAATTATTGTGGCCATTGTACTGCCAAATGGGAATTTCGTATCCGAAACAGCTTGTTGAGTGCAGGTACAGTCAAGGAAACATCCCAGGACCACTTTCTTACCTTGATAAAATTTCGATGATCAAAAACTCGACATCTTCTCAAACAATCAAAGAGGAGAAAGACGAGGCAATCATCATCACTTTGCAGCGCTCGATACAGAAATTCATTACGAAGGGAATCCAAAATACGATTTACAAGACTTACGGTCGCAGATTCGAGAAGATCGACGAAAGTATCTCCCCTGCGATGGAACAGCTCTTGTCGTACGATGGCTTCCTTGGATTATTCCGAAATCTCGGACCGCAAGCCGCATTTTGGCTTAATAAGATCATTGTCAACGAAATTGGCGTGATCATGGTCAACATCTTCAAGATCCATACATCCATCATCGATCAGATCTCGAACTGGTTCAACATGTACCGACTTAAGAAATACGACTGGGTTCCTACCGCAATCAAGTCCGACGAGGTCAAGCATTGCGCTCAGGAATTTGTCCGCCTCGGATCGATCCTGAGACTTCGCAGACTGATCAGACAAGCCGCTTCAGATATGATGGATACAATGGTTGAAGGCTTTATTCCTATCTTGAGCAGTGCATACATCAGGGAGAGGGACGCACAATGGGGCGAGAAACAAGACTTTCTCGTTGAAATGTGCACTCCATTCCAGACATTTCACTTTATCAAGTTCGCTATTGAAAAAGCGAATTTACTTAAGACAACAAATTCATCACAGTTCTTCTTCTTCCTCGCTTTACTACTTCTTAACCCAGAATGGTCGAATATCGACTTTAATTACGATTCTGAGACATTTTCAGGCAACTTACACAACATTCCAGACGCATTTGACGCTTTCTTGAGCATCAACAACTGTTTCGTTGCAGATGCTGATGACAAGAAAGTTGACGACGCGTTGGATGTCTTCTTCGACACATTCTCACACGTTATCCAGTGGAAGAGGAAGTTCTCAGGCGAAACAGGAGAGTTCTTGGAAGACACAATGATTATCTTGGCTGATATATTCCCGAAGTTCGTTTCTAAACTTCAGTACGGAACTATCGCAGAATCATTCCCAATCAACGTCGTTTTGGACGCTTACATGAGAATAGACAAGGAAAAGAGCGTCAGAAAGGATCAGGGAAAGAAGAAGAGAGGAAGAAGAGGAAAGAAAAAATAACTAATAAATAGTTCTTTATCTTTTTATCAATTTTTTTATTTATATTTATTTAGGGTTCATCTCTTACACCCATCTGACATTTCATTCAGATTTTTTTTGCAAAATATGTAATAAATAGTTCTTTATCTTTTTATCAATTTTTTTATTTATATTTATTTAGGGTTCATCTCTTACACCCATCTGACATTTCATTCAGATTTTTTTGCAAAATATGTAATAAATAGTTCTTTATCTTTTTATCAATTTTTTATTTATATTTATTTATATTTATTTAGGGTTCATCTCTTACACCCATCTGACATTTCATTCAGATTTTTTTGCAAAATATGTAATAAATAGTTCTTTATCTTTTTATCAATTTTTTATTTATATTTATTTATATTTATTTAGGGTTCATCTCTTACACCCATCTGACATTTCATTCAGATTTTTTTGCAAAATATGTAATAAATAGTTCTTTATCTTTTTATCAATTTTTTATTTATATTTATTATATTTATTTAGGGTTCATCTCTTACACCCATCTGACATTTCATTCAGATTTTTTTTGCAAAATATGTAATAAATAGTTCTTTATCTTTTTATCAATTTTTTTATTTATATTTATTTAGGGTTCATCTCTTACACCCATCTGACATTTCATTCAGATTTTTTTGCAAAATATGTAATAAATAGTTCTTTATCTTTTTATCAATTTTTTATTTTATTTATATATTTATTTAGGGTTCATCTCTTACACCCATCTGACATTTCATTCAGATTTTTTTTGCAAAATATGTAATAAATAGTTCTTTATCTTTTTATCAATTTTTTATTTATATTTATTTATATTTATTTAGGGTTCATCTCTTACACCCATCTGACATTTCATTCAGATTTTTTTTGCAAAATATGTAATAAATAGTTCTTTATCTTTTTATCAATTTTTTATTTATATTTATTTATATTTATTTAGGGTTCATCTCTTACACCCATCTGACATTTCATTCAGATTTTTTTGCAAAATATGTAATAAATAGTTCTTTATCTTTTATCTTTTTATTTTTTATTTATTTATTTATATTTATTTAGGGTTCATCTCTTACACCCATCTGACATTTCATTCAGATTTTTTTGCAAAATATGTAATAAATAGTTCTTTATCTTTTTATCAATTTTTTATTTATATTTATTTATATTTATTTAGGGTTCATCTCTTACACCCATCTGACATTTCATTCAGATTTTTTTGCAAAATATGTAATAAATAGTTCTTTATCTTTTTATCAATTTTTTATTTATATTTATTTATATTTATTTAGGGTTCATCTCTTACACCCATCTGACATTTCATTCAGATTTTTTTGCAAAATATGTAATAAATAGTTCTTTATCTTTTTATCAATTTTTTATTTATATTTATTTATATTTATTTAGGGTTCATCTCTTACACCCATCTGACATTTCATTCAGATTTTTTTGCAAAATATGTAATAAATAGTTCTTTATCTTTTTATCAATTTTTTATTTATATTTATTTATATTTATTTAGGGTTCATCTCTTACACCCATCTGACATTTCATTCAGATTTTTTTGCAAAATATGTAATAAATAGTTCTTTATCTTTTTATCAATTTTTTATTTATATTTATTTATATTTATTTAGGGTTCATCTCTTACACCCATCTGACATTTCATTCAGATTTTTTTTGCAAAATATGTAATAAATAGTTCTTTATCTTTTTATCAATTTTTTATTTATATTTATTTATATTTATTTAGGGTTCATCTCTTACACCCATCTGACATTTCATTCAGATTTTTTTTGCAAAATATGTAATAAATAGTTCTTTATCTTTTTATCAATTTTTTATTTATATTTATTTATATTTATTTAGGGTTCATCTCTTACACCCATCTGACATTTCATTCAGATTTTTTTGCAAAATATGTAATAAATAGTTCTTTATCTTTTTATCAATTTTTTTATTTATATTTATTTAGGGTTCATCTCTTACACCCATCTGACATTTCATTCAGATTTTTTTTGCAAAATATGTAATAAATAGTTCTTTATCTTTTTATCAATTTTTTATTTATATTTATTTATATTTATTTAGGGTTCATCTCTTACACCCATCTGACATTTCATTCAGATTTTTTTTGCAAAATATGTAATAAATAGTTCTTTATCTTTTTATCAATTTTTTATTTATATTTATTTATATTTATTTAGGGTTCATCTCTTACACCCATCTGACATTTCATTCAGATTTTTTTGCAAAATATGTAATAAATAGTTCTTTATCTTTTTATCAATTTTTTATTTATATTTATTTATATTTATTTAGGGTTCATCTCTTACACCCATCTGACATTTCATTCAGATTTTTTTGCAAAATATGTAATAAATAGTTCTTTATCTTTTTATCAATTTTTTATTTATATTTATTTATATTTATTTAGGGTTCATCTCTTACACCCATCTGACATTTCATTCAGATTTTTTTGCAAAATATGTAATAAATAGTTCTTTATCTTTTTATCAATTTTTTATTTATATTTATTTATATTTATTTAGGGTTCATCTCTTACACCCATCTGACATTTCATTCAGATTTTTTTGCAAAATATGTAATAAATAGTTCTTTATCTTTTTATCAATTTTTTATTTATATTTATTTATATTTATTTAGGGTTCATCTCTTACACCCATCTGACATTTCATTCAGATTTTTTTGCAAAATATGTAATAAATAGTTCTTTATCTTTTTATCAATTTTTTATTTATATTTATTTATATTTATTTAGGGTTCATCTCTTACACCCATCTGACATTTCATTCAGATTTTTTTGCAAAATATGTAATAAATAGTTCTTTATCTTTTTATCAATTTTTTTATTTATATTTATTTAGGGTTCATCTCTTACACCCATCTGACATTTCATTCAGATTTTTTTGCAAAATATGTAATAAATAGTTCTTTATCTTTTTATCAATTTTTTATTTATATTTATTTATATTTATTTAGGGTTCATCTCTTACACCCATCTGACATTTCATTCAGATTTTTTTGCAAAATATGTAATAAATAGTTCTTTATCTTTTTATCAATTTTTTATTTATATTTATTTATATTTATTTAGGGTTCATCTCTTACACCCATCTGACATTTCATTCAGATTTTTTTTGCAAAATATGTAATAAATAGTTCTTTATCTTTTTATCAATTTTTTATTTATATTTATTTAGGGTTCATCTCTTACACCCATCTGACATTTCATTCAGATTTTTTTGCAAAATATGTAATAAATAGTTCTTTATCTTTTTATCAATTTTTTATTTATATTTATTTATATTTATTTAGGGTTCATCTCTTACACCCATCTGACATTTCATTCAGATTTTTTTTGCAAAATATGTAATAAATAGTTCTTTATCTTTTTATCAATTTTTTTATATATATTTATTTAGGGTTCATCTCTTACACCCATCTGACATTTCATTCAGATTTTTTTTGCAAAATATGTAATAAATAGTTCTTTATCTTTTTATCAATTTTTTATTTATATTTATTTATATTTATTTAGGGTTCATCTCTTACACCCATCTGACATTTCATTCAGATTTTTTTTGCAAAATATGTAATAAATAGTTCTTTATCTTTTTATCAATTTTTTATTTATATTTATTTATATTTATTTAGGGTTCATCTCTTACACCCATCTGACATTTCATTCAGATTTTTTTGCAAAATATGTAATAAATAGTTCTTTATCTTTTTATCAATTTTTTATTTATATTTATTTATATTTATTTAGGGTTCATCTCTTACACCCATCTGACATTTCATTCAGATTTTTTTTGCAAAATATGTAATAAATAGTTCTTTATCTTTTTATCAATTTTTTTATTTATATTTATTTAGGGTTCATCTCTTACACCCATCTGACATTTCATTCAGATTTTTTTGCAAAATATGTAATAAATAGTTCTTTATCTTTTTATCAATTTTTTTATTTATATTTATTTATATTTATTTAGGGTTCATCTCTTACACCCATCTGACATTTCATTCAGATTTTTTTGCAAAATATGTAATAAATAGTTCTTTATCTTTTTATCAATTTTTTATTTATATTTATTTATATTTATTTAGGGTTCATCTCTTACACCCATCTGACATTTCATTCAGATTTTTTTGCAAAATATGTAATAAATAGTTCTTTATCTTTTTATCAATTTTTTATTTATATTTATTTAGGGTTCATCTCTTACACCCATCTGACATTTCATTCAGATTTTTTTTGCAAAATATGTAATAAATAGTTCTTTATCTTTTTATCAATTTTTTATTTATATTTATTTATATTTATTTAGGGAAAAAAAAAAAAAAAAAAAAAAAAAAAAAAAGGTAGTGGGGCTTCCAGGCACTTCGTGCCTTCTAGCCCTGAAGATGTTTAGGAGAAATGAAGTTTTGAGGACATACATGACTTTGAGTTTAGATATGACAAGATAGAATATGAGAGAGGTCCTATAAACCGGAGAAAGTGTCATATAAACATCTGTCATTTTACTCAGAATTTTACTCAGAATTCAATAAAAATATATTTTAGGGTAGAAGGGTATATCTACCCCGTTTTCTAACCTCTTTTCTACCCCATATGTCCTTACTGAAAATATGACCTTTGACCGAGTAGTTTTCATGTTTTGTCACTTTTCTGTCACTTTTCAGGTAAAAACATTTTTATTATATATATAAAATGAATTTTACAAAACCACCGTTACCCTTCTTTGGAAATAAGAGTAGATGTAAAGATATTCTATTGAGAGAACTTAAGAAACTACCGAATGGTCTAACATTTGTAGATTTGTTCGGTGGAAGTTTCTATATATCTCATTTGTGCCATACTGTATTTCCTGACTCAAAGATTATATGCAATGACTTCGACAACTATATGAACCGTCTCAAACATATACCAGACACAAACAAAATATTGAAAGAGTTAAAAGAAAAGATACCTATAGGTAAGATGGAACGTATACCATTAGATAAGAAAAATACTGTCAGAGAGGTTTTGAAAAAAGCAGAGTATATTGACTGGGATAGTATATCTTCTAGACTATTGTATAGTGGTTCTATAAGAGTTCATGACATTGAAACACTTATGTCAAACGTTTTATATCTTAACTATACAAAGGTTTTCAAAGAGGACATAGAAAAATATACTGAGGGTATAGAGTTTGTGAGATGTCGTTGGACAGAGTTGTATGAAAAATATAAAGACAAGGAAAATGTTTTCTTTATAGTAGACCCGCCGTTCTATAACACATATGATTTTCAATACCAAGTAGACTGGACTTTGAGAGACTCTTTAGAAACTTTAGACGTTTTACATAACCATCCATGCTTTTACTTTACATCCGATAAAAGTGGTTTGGAAAGTGTCATGAGATGGTTAGAGGACATACATGACTATGAGTTTAGATACGATAAGATAGAATATGAGAGAGGTCCTATAAACTGGAGAAAGTGTCATAACAAAGAAATTTTATTGGTAAGTAAATGTGGTTTGAAATAGGACTACTTGTTTTAGGTTTTTTCCATTGTGTCATTTACTTATTTGACGTGGCAGAAAGATATAGAGAATATGAAGATGAACCAATGCCTGCAAATGTCCAGTATATGTACTCGTAAGAGATATTTTTATCTAATATTAAATGGACGCACAGAACTTAGCGAATGCACAGCAACCTGGACAACCAAACCCAGAGAATATTCCAAATGAAGTTAGAATACAAACTGCAATGGCAAACTATGGTCAAGTGCCAACAGATGTACAAATGCAAACTGCCATGTCAAATGACGCTGCGTTAGGTTTGCCACCATGGTATGCAAATATGAGATGGAAAGAGTTTTATACAAACCCTGAAGTGGGATATAAACAACTTTATGCAGATGACGCGAACACAGGAGTTGACCCAGAATATGTTTTCTACCAGAGGAGAAACAGAATGTATGAGCTCCAGTTAAAGAATGCTATGGAACTCAACAGGAAACGTAAGAGACTAGGCGGACATTAGATTTTTACATATAGTAAAATGGGTTTCTTCAGTAAGATAGGAAACTTCTTTCGAAATGTTGGAAGAGGTATATGGAATGGAATAAAAACCGTAGGAAGAGGAATTTGGAACGGAGTCAAAAATATTGGTAAAAGAGTAGGTCAGTTCGTTGGTATTATACCTAAAGACCCTGAACCAGAAGAACAAGCTCCTGTTATACAACAGCCTGAACCTGCACCACAGTCTAGTTGGCAACCAAATCCAACACCTCAACCGTATTAAAAATTATATTTTTACCGTTCGATAGTAGTTGTATATGAAACTAAGTTCTAAGTAAAACGCATGGTATAATGGAATTATTCTCTTTCTTCCATCTGTAGTAAACCATACTTGAAAGTCTGAAATACTTCCACTTGGTGGTTCATATAGCTTTGTAGGTTTTTCGTAAAAGTCATTTGCCAAGCATAAAAAAGAGTTTTGTGCGCCAGAAAATGAAGCATGAACAATAATAGCAGCTGGGTCGAAAACATCTTTAAATAAATATGGTTCATCTCTTGCATATCGACTGTAAATATTTGCTAAAGGAAGTTCGACTTTCTGATTTAACATTCTTTGCAAATAATACCATGACATTGCAGTGAATTCTGTATATATTTGTTCGTCTTTCTTTGGATTGTCTTCGTAGATTTGAAATGACACTTGTGAATTTTGTTTGTCATATACAATTCTCACATAAAGTGTGCTCTCGGTATTTGCATATTCATCAGCATATTTTGCATAACATGAATTTATTTTATCTTCTATATTTTTTAACGCAGTCTGTAGAGAAGATGAAAGGTCAACTTGTATTAGCTCAATTTCTTCCCACATTTTTCGTTTCCCTTCAGATATATAATCTATATGAAACCTTACAATAAATGGAAAACTTTTATCTTCTACAGACACAAACTTCATTCTACGAAAGCCAATAGCTTTTGTGACAGATGGGTCTCTTAGCCATCTTAATGGGTAGTCAAAACGATAGCCTTCATGCTTTACGGTCTCTGTCTCAAACTTTTGACCGACATTCGTAAAAAGTTCATCTAATGGTTTAGTTGTAGCAACTCTTGAATTTTCTTTTTCTATTGAAAGCATATTTTATCTAGAATAAAAATGTCGAAAGAAACAGCGTCTATGAGAGAAATACAACACAACCGACAACTCATTTTGCAAGCTCTAAATAAGAACACAACAAACTTTTCAAACTATTCTAAGATATCTGAGTCATTGAAAGAAGGAAACTTAAAACTGACGATAAACCCAATGACAGATGAGTTTCTGTTTCAAGACAGTAAGAACCATACTGTCTGTGTAAATCCAACAAAAGGAACTTTAAACGAGAAGCCTATAAAAGAACTTCTTTTGAAAGCAGATGTTGACAACAAAGCTGACAAAGAGTATGTCATTGAAAAAGTTCAAGAAGAACATGACAGAGCAGATGCAACATATGCAACGAAAGAGGATGTTGAAAAGAAAGCAGATAAAACATATGTTAACGATGAGTTAGCATGTGTGGCTAGTGCATTAGATAAGAAGGCAGATAAGGAATATGTGGATGAAAAAGACAATGAAATTAAAGAAAGGGTTGAATGGTACCATGAACGGACTTCAAAGATTTTAAAAACTAAAGCCGATACAGGATGGGTTTCAGGGTGTTTAGACCTTAAAGCCGACAAAGAAACTGTAGATATGTTGACACAAACGGTTTCAAGTCATACCAGAGGTTTAATGGAAGATGGACAACAGTTGAAAGAGCTTGAGAAAGGTGTTACAGAGTTAAGGAATACAAAAGCAGACTCGACATGGATAAAAGGATATGTAGATGCAACAAAAGAACGTATTTTCGCATGGACAGAAGGAACATACCCACAAAAATATCATAGACATAGCATCTCTGACGTAAATGAACTTGAAGAAAAGTTATATAAAAAAGCAGACAAAACAGAGCTTCAAACATTAAAGACAGAAATACTTCAAACAGTATATCCTATAGGTTCTATTTATACGTCAATGAACTCTACCAGACCAGAAGTAGTACTTGGTTTTGGAACTTGGACTCAAATAGTCGACAGGTTTTTGTATTGTGCAAACTCTTCAAAGGAAACAGGTGGAAGTAAAACGATTTCAGGTGAAAATTTACCTGCACACAGTCACTACATAGATTTAAGTACATCTCAAGCAGGTTGGCATAAGCATAGATATTGGGATTGGTCAGGAATGACAAAAGGTAAAGGATATGATGTTAAAGACAACGTTAAGTTTGCTATAAATTGTTACTGGGATGACACTCAGGGAGAAGGAAACCATACACATTTCGTTTCAGGATATACACAAACAACGGGACAAAGTAAAGACTACATGCCACCTTACATGACAGTTTACGCATGGTATAGAATTGCTTAGTCGTCATTTTCAACTTCTTTAGCATATTCGTCAGGAGTTGTCTTATATTTGTTAGGAACTGTCTTTGAAAGTATACCACCTTGAACTTTGACAAGTTTGAAACGAGGTCTGACAATAGTAGTTTTATCTTCTGCTTGCAGTCTGTACATTTTGCCATGTTTGCCTAAAACTTCATAATATTCTCTTGTATACTTTCTTCTATTTTTACGAACACGAATGCGAGTACCTGTCGAGTTCCCATTGTTGTCATAGTCAATAGTATTTTCATATGGGTCGCGTTTAGGTATTTCTATTTTTACTTTGTCGCCTTTCTTAAGTTTGAAGCCTGGCATTCTTTCTTGTTTGTCTCTTTTGACTAAACTATTAAATATATAGTCTTTCTCTAAGTCAGGGTTGTTTTTCATTTCTTCGGGGGAGTGGTTTCCCAAACCTTTTTGTTTACGGTTATTGTAAATATTTAAAACTTGTCTCATCTTTGCCATGGAGAAGTGTCTGTACTTGTCGTCATATGACATTTCATCTACCTCACCACCTTGTGGTTGGTTTAAGTCTCTTAAGATTTTTATACAACTGTCAATGACACCAAGAGCAGAATGGTTTTGGTCGACAATGAAATATTGGTTTACATTTTTTGAACGCAGATAGTTTTTAATATCGTCTGATTTGAAAGAACTTTCACAGTCAGATGTCAGTTTTGTTGGATGGTATTTGTCAACGAATATTGTCAAAGCAGTTTTCACATCTAAAATATTTTTGGACCATAATGGTATGGCTTCACAGTATCTTGTGTTTTGACCAACAAATATTAACCAGTATGGAGGTCCATCTGTTCTAACTCTCGGAATGTTTTCCAAGATATCCATAAACCAAGCATTTGGTGTTGAACTAAAGATTTTTATCATGAGTGCTTTCTTTGTTGCCTTAGAAACATAGGGGTCCTTGTTTGGATTCGTCATTTTTTAACCCATAAGAAATGGGTTTATTTGGCGCATTAGCAGGAGTTGCATCCAGATTTTTACCCGCAGTTGGAACAATAGCCAGAGGTGCATTTGGAATTGGAAGGAAGATTTTGAGTACATTAGGTATACTTAAAGAGAAAGCACAACCTATTATACAAACCGTACAGAAAGGTTGGGAGGTAGCACGAGATGCAACAAATCTTATTCCAAATCCTGAAACAAGAGGAAAAGTTCAAGGATGGATGGACAATGTAGGAAGAGAAGCAGGAAACTATTATAACAAAGCAAATGACTACTATAACCAAGCAGGACACTATATGGACCAAGGTGAAAGATTCTTTAACAGAGGATATAACCATGCACAACAGTGGGTAAACAATAACCAACCGCAACCACCTCAAACTTGGGGAATGTAAAGTTTTTTACTGAGATGAAATGAACAATACAGCATTGAGACAAATGGGTTCAAGATGGATTTGTCGACTTCCAGCAGTTACACAACCACGTGTTTGTCAAGTTCTTCCTATACCTCAGGAAGTTTTAGACCGACTTAAAAAACCTAAACAACCAGTTGAAAACAAAACAAACTAAAATTTTTTACTGAGATGAAATGACCGAAGAAGTTGAAACGGTAGATTTGACACCACAAACAAAAAGTTCAGAACCATTGTCAAAACCTGTCAAAGAACTTACAGATGAAGAGAAAAATTCAATAATAGAAAGTGCCAGGTCTGGAAATACAAACCCTAACTATAAAGTCACTTTTCATAGAAATGGAACGGCTAGTATCTCAAAAAAGAAACAGACTCTCACAAATAAAATATTGAAGTCTGAAGGAGCTTTCGAGACAACAGATGGGAAGGTATTCTTCACTGACCAACAGTTCATTATAGAACATCTCATTGACTTAGAGTCAAAATATTCTAAACTTTACAACAAACACAAAAAGTTGAAAGGAAAACAAAAACAAATGGCATATGATATTTATGAAGATGTTGACGACACAACCATACCTGCAAGTGAAGTAAAGTCAGGTGAACCAAAAAGTGACGAAAAACCGATAGAAGAAGGTGAGCCAAAAACTGAAGATAAACCAAAACCAAAGGTTAGTTTCCAAACTAAACCAAGTCAACCTTCATTAGCTGGTATGGGTTGGCGTCAAAGACTTATGGCAGCAGGCGGTTATGTAAAGTAAAGAAAAAAATATTTTTTTATTTTTATAGAAATGCCCCCATATAGAATGGATAGAAAATCTGCTAGAATAAAAGCAGAGTTAGAAAGATATGGTTGGAGAGTTTCAAAGAAGTTTAAATATAGGAAGGGAAGACCCATAAAAGTCTATGACAAATTGTCTGGTCTTCGCTATGAAATGGACTTGGAAACAGCACGCGCAAATTATCCAAACAGACTTGAGAGGTTAGAAGAAGAACGTCTTATGGACATGCCTTTCGATGTTAGTGAACCTCAAGTTGAAGGACACGACGGCTTTGCCAGATTCTACTGGAAACATGACGAACAATTGCATCCTTTGAGAAGGAAAAAAGGAAAGGGTGAAGACGCACATGCTCCCATGGAAAGAACAAGATATGCATATGAGAAGTATCGTGAAGTTAGAAGTAAAATTACATCTGGTCAAACCTTTACAGTAAACTTTGACGATGGAAAGAACAAAGAAGGCTTCATGGGAGTACTTGCTGCAATTCAAGACGGAAATAAGAAAGGATACAATCTCAGATTGACCATAACAGATTTGGATGGTCACATTTACTATGCACATGGCAATGTCACAACAGCTGCAATGCTTCTTGACGCTTTCAAGACTACAAAGAGAGAACAAATGGTTGACTCCGACTCAGACATTTTGAATGCAATTGAAGGAATTGTAAGCGTGAAGTTCGAATGGTACCAACCTAACCCTCAAGCAGTCAGACAACATGCTGGATACTTCCCGTTCATAAATAAGTCTGACATTGACTTGACAAGGTATGGAATTTACAATTCAATTGAAACAATTGTCAATGAACCTTGTATTCTTACATGTCTCAGGAACTCTGGTCTTGTTACAGAAGAGAAGATGAAGTATCTTGAGTCATGTGTGAAGACAAGGTACATTCTCAGAGGTCAATTGGCAAAAATTGCACCGTTGGCAAATGTCAATATCCGAGTCAACATACCTACAGCTAAAGGTTCTTCACATGACGACTATGTTGTTGACAAAGACTTACCATGGTTGAAGATTGCAATTGTCCACAACCACTTCATGTTGAACGAAAGTCTTACAAACCCATTGTTCGGAAAAGGCAAGTGCAACATTGTCAGAGCTGTAAACATTCTTTTCGAGAAAGGTTTGTTGGAACCAATTCCAGATGACAAGCTGACAGAAACTTTTGTACCAAAAGACGAAACAAACTTTTCATTGTTAGCAAGACCAAAAGTTGTTCCAGACAAAGTTATAGCACAAAAGAAGTACACTGTTCCAAAAGGAGTTGGATTGTTCGGATACCAACCTGAACCAGAAGAACTTCCAATGAGGTTGCAAGAACTTCAAGATGCTATAAACAAACTTCCATTGAGACATCCAATTGACGTCAAATTGTATTGGAGAGCATCGGAGTTAGGTCAGAAGGTTTTATATGAAACAGGTTGCTTCGACGATGTTTATGAGATAGCAGGCGAAGTTTCTCAGAAGATAAGAGACTCACTTGAATTTCCACAAACTGGACCAATTGGTTGCGACAAGTTCGACTCAAACGAAAAGATATACTATGTCGACCTTAACGCTGCGTACATGAGGTTCGTCCAATATATCCCGACTGGAATTCCAAACGAAGATGGTGAGTTCCCAGGAAGGAACTATACAGTTGGAAAAGTCATACAACAACTGTATGATATTAGGAAAGCTTCAAACCCCAAACTTGCAATGACACTCAAATTGCTTATGAATTCGACATGGGGATATTCCATTAAGAAACCTCAAGAGATGAAGAGTAAACATTATGAGAAGGTCGACAACTTTGTTGAAAGTTCTTTATCTTTTTATCAATTTTTTATTTATATATTTTATATTTATTTAGGGTTCATCTCTTACACCCATCTGACATTTCATTCAGATTTTTTTTGCAAAATATGTAATAAATAGTTCTTTATCTTTTTATCAATTTTTTATTTATTATTATTTTATATTTATTTAGGGTTCATCTCTTACACCCATCTGACATTTCATTCAGATTTTTTTGCAAAATATGTAATAAATAGTTCTTTATCTTTTTATCAATTTTTTATTTATATTTATTTATATTTATTTAGGGTTCATCTCTTACACCCATCTGACATTTCATTCAGATTTTTTTGGAAAATATGTATAAATAGTTCTTTATCTTTTTATCAATTTTTTATTTATATTTTTTTTATTTATTTAGGGTTCATCTCTTACACCCATCTGACATTTCATTCAGATTTTTTTGCAAAATATGTAATAAATAGTTCTTTATCTTTTTATCAATTTTTTATTTATATTTATTTATATTTATTTAGGGTTCATCTCTTACACCCATCTGACATTTCATTCAGATTTTTTTTTGCAAAATATGTAATAAATAGTTCTTTATCTTTTTATCAATTTTTATTTATATTTATTTATATTTATTTAGGGTTCATCTCTTACACCCATCTGACATTTCATTCAGAATTTTTTTGCAAAATATGTAATAAATAGTTCTTTATCTTTTATCAATTTTTTTATTTATATTTATTTAGGGTTCATCTCTTACACCCATTTGACATTTCATTCAGATTTTTTTGCAAAATATGTATAAATAGTTCTTTATCTTTTTATCAATTTTTTATTTATATTTATTTATATTTATTTAGGGAAAAAAAAAAAAAAAAAAAAAAAAAAAAAAAGGTAGTGGGGCTTCCAGGCACTTCGTGCCTTCTAGCCTGAAGATGTTTAGGAGAAATGAAGTTTTGAGGACATACATGACTTTGAGTTTAGATATGACAAGATAGAATATTGAGAGAGGTCCTATAAACCGGAGAAAGTGTCATATAAACATCTGTCATTTTACTCAGAATTTTACTCAGAATTCAATAAAAAATATATTTTAGGGTAGAAGGGTATATCTACCCGTTTTCTAACCTCTTTTTCTACCCCATATGTCCTTACTGAAAAATATGACCTTTGACGAGTAGTTTTCATGTTTTGTCACTTTTCTGTCACTTTTCAGGTAAAAAACATTTTATTATATTATATAAATGAATTTTTACAAAACCACCGTTACCCTTCTTTGGAATAAGAGTAGATGTAAAGATATTCTATTGAGAGAACTTAAGAAACTACCGAATGGTCTAACATTTGTAGATTTGTTCGGTGGAAGTTTCTATATATCTCATTTGTGCCATACTGTATTTCCTGACTCAAAGATTATATGCAATGACTTCGACAACTATATGAACCGTCTCAAACATATACCAGACACAAACAAAATATTGAAAGAGTTAAAAGAAAAGATACCTATAGGTAAGATGGAACGTATACCATTAGATAAGAAAAATACTGTCAGAGAGGTTTTGAAAAAAGCAGAGTAATTTGACTGGGATAGTATATCTTCTAGACTATTGTATAGTGGTTCTATAAGAGTTCATGACATTGAAACACTTATGTCAAACGTTTTATATCTTAACTATACAAAGGTTTTTCAAAGAGGACATAGAAAAATATACTGAGGGTATAGAGTTTTGTGAGATGTCGTTGGACAGAGTTGTATGAAAAATATAAAGACAAGGAAAATGTTTTCTTTATAGTAGACCCGCCGTTCTATAACACATATGATTTTCAATACCAAGTAGACTGGACTTTGAGAGACTCTTTAGAAACTTTAGACGTTTTACATAACCATCCATGCTTTTACTTTACATCCGATAAAGTGGTTTGGAAAGTGTCATGAGATGGTTAGAGGACATACATGACTATATGGTTTAGATACGATAAGATAGAATATGAGAGAGGTCCTATAAACTGGAGAAAGTGTCATAACAAAGAAATTTTATTGGTAAGTAAATGTGGTTTGAAATAGGACTACTTGTTTTAGGTTTTTTCCATTGTGTCATTTACTTATTTAGACGTGGCAGAAAGATATAGAGAATATGAAGATGAACCAATGCCTGCAAATTGTCCAGTATATGTACTCGTAAGAGATATTTTTTATCTAATATTAAATGGACGCACAGAACTTTAGCGAATGCACAGCAACCTGGACAACCAAACCCAGAGAATATTCCAAATGAAGTTAGAATACAAACTGCAATGGCAAACTATGGTCAAGTGC